TGTAAATCACTTTCTAACTCTTATTTTACATTCCTGACCTTCTACAAGTTCATCTTAGAGTTGGGCAGCTGAGGGCACTGTGGGATGGAGGATACCATCTTAAATACTTTCTAGAAAATTCTGGAATTTCCAGAATATAAGAATGTTACACATTTCTAATGAAAAGGCAACGGGGTGGGTGGTGCGGGAACACACCTACAGGGTCAACCTAGGTCAGTGATCACTTGCTTGAGTGGAAAATGCCCGGCTCATTTTCAGCTTAGTGCCAGATTTCATGCAGACAAAATTGATCAATTGTCAATTACCCTAAGTAAGGACCTCCGTTCATGAGATCAAACACCTGAGCTGGATTTAGCAACTGTTTAAATCGACGAAGGAACTTTACTCCCTGATTGTCTCCACTTTTGGAATTGACAAAAACCAGCAGAGGACTAACACAGAATGAAAAGGTTGCTCTACAGAAACCTGTAGGGAAAAAAGAGAAGAGTCCAAAATTAATACGTACAGTTCTTTTAAACTATTGCCAAAAATTCAGAGAAAAAGTACAGTCATTGAAATGGTGATGATCTATTACTTGAATGAAAGTATGCTTTATCGTGCCCCCATCACAAATGGAGATGTGTCTATTAAAAATGCACTGTAATGAAAGATCATACCACAGAAGGGAAAAGTATTGATCATAGATACCTTGAGATAAACCATCAATATTAACTATTCTCCCTTGTAAGAGAAAAAAATCTAAATTCACATGTCTAACAATTTGCATATTCACATTCAATCCCTTTCAATATTTTAATTTGCTTCTTGCTGAGGTCAGAGAATATACTCTAAAATTTATATTAAAGTAAAAGAACCGTGAAACGTGGTGAGGAGGGTCAGAAGTAGCAGAGGTATTAAAAAAATCACAGTTTGATATCTATATTATAGATACGTGATTTATATGTCTTAAAACTGTGTCAATAGATAACACAGATATTGATAGTTATTGGTATAACCTATATAGTGTTTGAAAAGTAAAACGTACTATATCCGTAACATATCCAAAACTTTAATAACAATGTATGTTAAGAAGTCTGCTTACAAGGAAGTTATTTACTAGCGTGCGGTGCCCAAACTGGCATAGGCAGGGTCTCCCACACTCAGAGCGAAGATACATGACTCGGACGGAGGACAGTAAATGAATTTATAGGAATATAAATCTCTGCTATGAAATTAGAGAAAAACAGATAGCAATAATAGCAAGTCTAAAATGGGCAGCTGAATGATGGAGGGGGAAGAAACCACTTTAAAAAATTAACCTTTTCAGATTGCATTTCAGTGAAGAGTAATGGTCTTATTTGTTGAAATTAATCCAATATCCAAGTCTGATACACAGTAATTTACCATCATATTAATAGCTACATGTTACAAATTGAATTTTAAAATACTTTCAAGATTGAATGTACTCTTCGGCAATTTAAATGGAGTTATTGTATAAAAACTGGCCACAAGAACCAATTACAGTTCCAGCTGTTCTAGGAAAAGAAATGTACACATCCACATTGAGTATACCAGAAACACACAAGCTTACACTGCCGCTACCTACCGTCAGAATCAGTGCTGTTTAGTGCAATTGGAGGTATGACAGAGACTTTACATTGGCCGAGGGGGCACACAGGATGATATAAATCTTTGCAGGCCGTGTGTACCTAGTAACAAACAAGAGGCACAAAAAGACAGGACTGGTTTGCTCTGTTATCAATCACAGCTAAGGAACTGATAATTTAGGATCAGCTGAGTCACCACCAAAAGTTCAGGAATAATAACTCACTTGCAGGGCACGGGTATTAATTATTAATTACCGCTAAGAAATGGACCAGGAGCCCTGGTGACAAACAGTGGCTGACACGCTGCGCTGCTAACTGCAAGGTCAGCATGTTCAAACCCACCAGCTCTTCTCACAGACCCTGCGCAGCAGTTCTACTGTGTCCTACAGGGTCACCATGGGTCAAGACCGACTTGATGGTGGTGGACTGGTTTTGCTTCTAAGGAAGGGACTAATCATTTTAGACTTGGGAATTCAATTCTGGTCTCCATAGCCTAGACCCGACGGTCTCAGGCAAGCAGCATACAGTCAGTAAGTGCCCACTGAAGGCCAGTCGAGAGGAGAAGAGGAGGAGGGAGAGAAGGGAAGCTAGTCAGTGTGCCTCAGTATCACGACCCATGAAATAGACCGATGACATTCTCTTACAAAGTTCTTATTAATAAATGAAATTATTTATTAATTCATTAATCGATTCAAAATTAATTCAAAGGGGACTTAAAAAACTTCATGGAAAAGTTCTCGTCTTTTTTCAGTCCATTTTCTCATGAACTTAAAAAAATCCTTCCACGGAAGCTTTAACATTTCCACTCTTTCTGCCGTGGTCCTATCATTACCCTTTTGGTGGCATTTTTCTTTATCACAGGATGGTGATCTTATGCATATATGTAGCATACTGAAGGACGCCCTGGTGGCCCAGTGGCCGAGGACTTGGCTGCTGACTGAGAGGTCCGTGGTTCAAACCCACCAGTTATTCTCTGGGAGAAAGATGAGGCTGTCTGCTTCCGGAAAGCTTTACAGCCCTGGAAGCCCTAGAATGTAGTTCTGCTGTGTCCTATAAAATACGGTGCTATATACTCATATATAATGGATCGTTTGATGAATCCATGTCTATTTTCTCAGACTTTGGATTCTATAAAAAAATAGGGAAAAAGGATATCCCTCAGTCTAACATCTTGGAAACTGGTACACATCAAAGGCTCTCTGTAAAAGCAAACATTTTCAAATTCACTGAAGATGCTACTGAGAACTAAAGCAGGCTAAATATCAAGGACTCAGGTAAGTAAAACTATTTTATACATCCACCTAAACAGCTTTCAAAAGGTTTTAATCAGTAAAAACAGACACTTTATGAAAGCACTTACTATGGTTTTATATTTGATTATTCTTCTTACTGTAAAATGGGTGATAGTTTACAGAGCAGAGCAATTTTCCATTCAACAAACCATATACATTATTCCAATAGCTTTTCTTTTTAAAAAAACTGGCCAAAAAATTAAATCTGTATTTCGGAAAATTTTGGAGCTAATAATAGACATTCAGTAGCAAGTCTTGTTTTGCTGGTGAACAGTCTCCTACTACAGTTTCCAATAATTAAAAAGGACAAATGGGTTTTAGAGAAACTGGCATGCCCAGGTAGTTGGAAAAGGTGGAAAAATGGGTATGAGAATCGTAGAGCACAACATAAAAAATATCTATAATATTAAATGAAAGAAGCGGAAAATAAAATGACGCCTGCACTACACTGCAAGAGGACGACACCGTCTCTAGTTACTGACCATTGTTTAGGAGGGATCCCGTCACAGCTGCGGAGCCCTGGTCTTCCACGAGATGTTGGAGACACTAGGTGTCCTGTTGTTGATAGGTGCACTCGAGTTGGTTCGACTCATTGCAACTCATAGTAACACAACAAAGCAGCGCCCTGCCCTTTGCCATCCTCACAATGGTTATGGGTGAGCCGGCCCACTGGCGCAGCCACTGTGGTGAGCCATCTCATCACGGGGCCTCCTCTTTTTGCTGCCCTTCCACTTTACCACACCTGGGGTCCTTTTCCAGAGACTGGTCTCTCCTGTCTTGTTAGAAACTCAAACAGACACATGAGGATGAAATCCACTTCTAAAAAATGGGCCAATGAAAAACCTTTTGGAGCATATTTCTACTCTGACCCACATGGGATTGCCATGAGGCGGAATCAAATTAACAGCAGCGGGGACAGGAAGTGCAGAAGCAAGAGAGATGCTACAAGAGTGACGGTAGCCCAGAAACCAGCATGTCTAACTTGCACAGGATGACAGGGTGGTAAGGGTACATGCCACTGAGGTGATACGTGAGTTTGGCCGGGAACAGAGATTCTAGAATGACCCTTCTTATCTTCTGGAATAATACTGCTATTCTACTTGGGAAATTTTTTAATTGAAGGTAATTAAAAATCTACTGCCAACAAATTGATTCTGGGTTTCTGAAACTCTCTTTACAAAAGCTGATGGCCTCGTCATTCTCCTGTGGCGTGGCTGGTGGGTTTGAACTGCCAACCCTGAGGTTGGCAACCCAGTGCCCATCGGGGATCTTTGGAGAATATGCAGAGTGAGAAAGTAAACAAAAAACTTAAGTAAGTCCTACTGCTAAAGCTAGTAAACTCAAAATACCACTGATTAAATAAAATGTCGGGTGAAGGCTAGCAATAATATATAAAACAGCTCTAAAATGATTCCCAAATTATCCTCCCCCCCCAAAGGGAGAAGGGGAATAAAGACTTTACGTCTTGCTTAAGGAGTGGCAGTGAAGGTTCCGGGGCTACGGCTGCACAGAACCCCCAGAGAGAGACATCCACGTAGTCTCCGAGTCATATCACACGAGGTAACAGAAACACCGTGGAAACAGTGATGGCTAAGGGGCAACGGATGAAGAGTGATACAGACCAGGGGTCCGCAAACCTTCGAGACAGAAGAGCCAATCCTGTCTCTCGCATCAACTTAAAAATCATTCGAGAGCCATAAGTATGTTTTCACAAACAAATGGCATCACCATCTCTGAATAAGTCCTTGACATTTTTTCAGTTTTGCTTCAGAACCACATGTATGTACTACAGGAGCCACACACGGTTTGAGAGTCACAGTTTGCTGACCCTGGATATAGGCCCAAGTTTGACTTAAAAATGAAAAGGAAGCATAAATTACCCATCAGACTTGGCTACATTTCCTTCTTAAGGTGCCCTGCAAGCAAAGTGGGGTCTATGTCGGGCTGCTAACTGCAAGGTCAGCAGTTTAAAAGCACCAGTCACTCTGGAGGGGAAGGATGAGACTCTGTTCCCATACAGAATTACAGTCTAGCAATTGTACAATTCTACCCGATGTGATAGAACTACGGAATGATAAGACACATGCATTAAACCCCAACTGTTGCCAGTTCTACCATACAGGGTCGCTGTGGGTTGGGATCGCCATGGTGAGTTTGGTTGATTTTGGTTAGAGTCCAAGGAACCAGTCTCACTGAATAGTAAATTAACCTTCTTGATTCATATCGCTTACATTCGCCAGTCTACATACCACACGGACTACAGCAATGGCTTTTGCATTTGAAGCCGACGGCCAAGTTACCTAAAAAATTCAACACAGCATGCCATTAATCAGCCTCTGCTGCAATGTACTCACCATCGGAGCATGGCAGCGGCACCAGGCACTGCTTCCAGGCCCTGCGGCCCATCATCTGCCCACCCTCGTACCCGCTCCGACTGCCCCAGCACAAAGCGGCATCCGGCAGCAGTGCTCGCTGCGGGCTCTGTGTCATGTGGTGGGCGCTTTGCATCTCTTTTTCGTGAATGTGCAGGGAAGTTTAAAAATATTTAAAATACCAGTGCATGCATGACCTGCCGGACCTGGTGTTTCATTTGTCAGAGAATGCATTAGCAAAATTACATTTTACCTACTGACGACAATTAGGTGGCTTTCTGAAGAAGGGTGGTTTGTGTACAACAGACAGAGATAGATGCTTAAAAAGAGCAAAGCCTCTAAGTGTTGTAAAAATATAAGGAAGGGCAGTCAACAAATGGAGGAGACCCTTAGGCAGAGGAAGAGCAATAACATGCTACATGTGGACATGTGACATGTAACATCATCTGACCGCTTCCGTAGGACAGATTGTTTTTCTTAAAGGAAGGACAGCCGTCCTTTTGTTTATTATTTTAACCACCCACCCAGACTCCCACAGCCCTGAACCCTGGGTGGGATCTCGCAGGTGAGGCAAAGGGCCTTGAATGTGTACATCTTGTTCAAACCCCTGTGGAAAATTTGCCTTTCTATCCAGATGCGCTGAATCCAGATCCATATTTGAACAAGACCCCCGGGTGACTCTGATGGACACACAGACTCTGATTCGGAATACCGAGGGCAGAAAGGGGAACCTGCAGCAGGGGGTCGAGCTGACTTGACCTGGCTCAAAGGCATGTGTGCTGCTCTCCAGGGAGAATCTCGGGCAGGGTTGTGTGGCCCTGTGCCCACCCCACTGGCATCCACCCGCTCCTCTGCCCGCTGCCAGCAGCTCCTGCAGCAGCAGCCGTAGCCGTGGGGGTTGTGGTAGCAGTGACGTCAAGGACAATCGCTGGAAACCTCCCATAATATGACGTTTGCACAATACCCAAAGCACAGCACATTCAACTTCACAGAACACACCTCGGACGCCAAGCGCCAGAGCCCTGCCTTACAAAATGGGCATTTGAAGAAGTGGCCAGACTGGCAGGCATATCGCTTTGTCACAGGGATGAAGGGAACTATGGGGTGGTGTGCTACCAGCCTCTGCTCTGCCAAAAGTTCTTTTCTTTGTTTAAAACAGGTTTATTGGTACTGCATCCACATATCACACAATTCAATAGCTTGATCATATCAAGAAGAGTTGCACAATCAATACCACAAACAATTCTAGAACACTTTCTCTTTTTGTTCCCCGCCATGGTTAGATCACTTTTAAAATGAGTTGTGTCGTCACCATCAGTTCTAGTGCTCCCTCCCACATCCACCGTCTGCTCCCTGCGTTCCCTCACCCTCCCGTCTTCCACCCAACCCCTACCACCCCTGCCACAATGCTTTGTTCTACCTCGAAACCACACGCGCAACGATGCAAAGACAGCGGCTCAGTGAGAGGACGGCAATGACCTGCATGCCCTTACCATGGCTTTGCACCAGAGGCATTTCCAGTCCTGCAGACGGAGGACACTGCCGCACGTCTTGTCACAGACAACGCACTTGGCGCTCACGGGCAGGTTCCCCTCGAGCCACTGGTGAGGCATGGCTACCTGGGGGGCAGGGAGAAAGGGCAGGCAAGTGAACGAGTGGGAAGGACATAACTCTCCCATCTTATCCTGGTGGACACTTGGTTCTTCCCAACTTTTCACACTCAGTAACAGGAAAGAGTTCATGGCACCCATGCATCTATCAAACCTCTATTCCGTCCTGGCGATGCAGTAGGAGGGGCCCTGGGGGCAGAGTCGTTATGCAGTGGGCTACTAACCTCCAGGCCAGCAGTTGGAAACCACCAGACCCCAAAAGGAGAAAGACAAGGCTTCCTACTCCTGGAAAGAGTGACAGTCTCGGACACCCTCGGGGGCAGTTCCACCTGGTCCTGGAGGCTTGCCATGGCTCAAGGGCAATGAACTGGAGTGGGTGATGGGTTGGGTTACGAGTTCAGCTACTAACCACGTCTAGGGCCACTCTGAGTCAGAAGCGACAGGATGGCAATGAGTTTGGTATAGGTGCTCTGAGGACCACAGGGATACAGAGACAAAACAGCTACCACAGAGTCGTTTTTGAACCACAGTGACTCCATGTGTGTCAGGGGAGAACTGTGCACCATGAGGTTTTCAACGGAACGGTTTGGGAGAGTAGATTGTCAGGTGTTTCTGCCAAGCTGCCTCTGGGTGGGCTTGAGCCATCAACTTTGGGGTTAGCTGGAGAACTTGCAAAGGGTTCATACTATCCAGAGGCCACACTGCAGAGCCATGTACACCCTCATCCGCACTCTTGGAGACTCCTAGCCCAGGGACAGAGAAAATCCAGGCGAGGGGTTATCTTACTACAATCAGTAAGTGCTAGGAGAGATCCGATATGAACAGGCGGGGCTATGGGGGTAAGGAATTGAAGGCAGGAGCTCTGCTTTGAGTGAAAATCCCATATCTAAGGAATGAACATCTGAGGTAACCCTTAAAGAATTTCTCCCATCCCTACAGCCACTCCACCGCCCTGCGCTCAACAGGTGGTGCTCGACACGTAGCAGCTGAAATCAGCTATGATAAGGGTTAGCAAACCTTATTTGCTAACAGGGAATGACTCAAAACAAAGGACGGAATGGAAAGTAAAGATCCGTCATGAAGCAAACGCTTCCATTCGATCCTAACAATAAACATTCCCACATTCCCGCTTAAGCATCGTTTCGAGCATCTCGCACATGAGCAGAGCATGAAGGAAGGAGCCCGGTGGGCGATCAGAGACAGAACCGAGACGTACGCCATCCTCGTCCTCCAGGATGTCCTTCCCGATGGACGACAGGGTCGTCCACTTGCAGTTATTTGTTGCTCTCACTGCGCACCGTTTGTGAGCCTTGAATTTACACACTGAAAAAAGAGAAAATGTGAATGACTTCTAAAGGAGTAAGTACTTTGGCATCAACAATTAAAGAGCATGACACTAGGAAGGTTTAAGTGAGCTACCAGGAACAAATGTAAGGCACGTTTAAATTACTCTTCAGGAACGGCAGTGGTCGTCCTGGAAAACCACTGTGACTGTCTGTTGACCGATGGCTTGGACTAAGTGATACGCAGTGATATTTAGAGACTGCCCTAACTCGTTAAAGAAGAGACAGAGGCTAACTACCAACGCCCCAGTTCTTGAAGAGCTGGCAGGCAGCACAGCCGCCAACAAACAGGTCACATCACGGTGCGCAGACACCCCCTTTGCTAACTTGGGTGCTGATGACACGAGTGTGTCTAGTTTCTGAAAACCCACCAAGCTGTACACTCCCGATAACTACATTTGGATGAAATAAAAAACTGCAAATATTCTGATAAAAGAAAGAGATACTACATAGGAGTTTTGAGCTGTAAGGTACACGGCTGTCACTTGAAGGAGGCTCTCAAGCAACATGGGAAACAGGTTGATGAAGGTCACAAACACGGCATTGTCTTTTAACAGTACTAGAGTGAGATGACGGCCCTGTTATGTAGAAGAAAGGAACGGTGCGGTGATGTTCCCACTCTAAGCATCACTGATTCTCCACAGCCATAAAGAAGCCTCTAACAGAGACATTCAGGAAAGAAGTGGTCCATGGGTGAAAGAAAGTAAACTATAGATTTTGGGGGGGGCTGGGGGTTAATGAAAAGAAACAACAACAACAGGAAAGCACAGATTATTTGAAAAATTAATCATGCTCATGAAAATCCGACCATCACTCATCTGTCAATTTGTCTTACCGCGGGGGCTTCCATGTTGCTGTGATGCTGGGGGCTATGCCACACTTATTTCATATGTTCACAGGTCCACCAGGGTGGACAGGTTTCAGTGGAGGTTCCAGGGTCTGACAAAGAAGGACTAGTACATCTACTGCTAGAGAACGGCCACAGTAAAAATATATCCGCAGTGGAACATTGTCTAATATAGTGACAGAAGATGAGGTAGTCCCATTGGAAGGCACTCAACATATGGCTGGGGAAGAGCTGTCTTCTTCAAGTTGAGCTGTCTTTCAGGATGTAGTCGGAATGGAGCTTTTAGGAGCCCTTATTTGCTAACAGGCAATGACTCAAAATGAAAAATAAAAATGACTGCAAATATCCATTGGTTATCAAAATGTAGAATCTACAAAATACGAACTTAGGAAAATCGAAATTTGTCAAAAGAGAAAGAAATGTTTCGCATAAAGATTGATATTGTTAAAAAATAAGAAAAGAAGAAGAAAAGATTGCTACTGTAGGCAGCAGGTTATTATGCGTTATACTGTTCTGGGAATGATTAATTGAAGGGAAATAGTATTAAATTAATCATAAAAAAAGAACATTTCAAAATTGATCCTTAATACCCAAGTCACAATTAAAGTCTGAAAGACCGAAAAAGATTGATCCTGAAATAAAATTCATCAATGATGGGATAATATCTAAAGGCCTACAAGGAAGACCAATTAATAGACCATTATATATATTTACGCACCAACCACTCATACCAAAGATGAGGAAATTGAAGATTCTCACCAAGTGTGCAGTCTGAAATTGAAACGATAGGGACTGCAGATGCCTTGATGATTACTGTGATTGACATGAGAAAGTCGGGCAGAGATGGATCAGGCACTGGAAATGTGGCCTTGGTAATAGATATGCTGCCAGAGGTCACAGGGTGGAATCTGGCGAGACCAACAACTAACTCATTGCAAACATTCTTTATCAACAAAATAAATAGCCAATATGCATGTGGACCTCATGGGATACAGAACACAAAAATCCAATTGCCTGCATCTATAAAAAGAGATGATGGAGAAACTTTACAAGCAAGACGGGGGCGACTGTGGAGCAAACCATCAATTGCTCATCTGAAAGTTCAACTTGTGGCTGGAAAAGACTAAAGCTAGTCCAAAGACCATCTGAAGAATCAATGTCAATCACTGAACACGGATGACCAGAGAAGTTGTGGGAGGACATCAAGGGCATCGTGCATGGAAAAGCCAAGGTCACCACAAAGACAGGAAAGAAAGGAAAGATGGAGATGGATGTGCGAAGAGACTCTGAAACTTGCTTCTTGAGCAAAGGTTAGAGAAGAATTGATGAAATAAAAGGGCTGAACAGAAGATTTCAAAGGGAGGTTCCAGAACACCAGGTAAAGTAATATAATAAAATGTGCGGAGACCTCAAGCTAGAACTCCAAAACACTTGAAATTTCTCATTTAAGGGAAAAATCCAACCCTTGAGTTAAGTCTTAAAGGATTCTTTAAGTTTAAGATCGAATGATGCAGGAAGCTTCAAAAAAGATACACAGAATTACTGTACCAAAAACAATTGGTTGAGAGCCAGTGGTAGGTAAGGAAGACGTCCAACTTGCACTAAATGCACTGGCAAAAACCAAGGCTCTAGAAATTGTCGAAATATGAACGGAGGTGTTTCAACAGATGAATGTAACACTGGAAGCACACACTAGTCTATGCCAAGAATTTGGAAAACAGCCCCCTGAGCCCACAGCTGGACAAGATTCATGTTTGTGCCCATTCCAAAGAAAGGTTACCCAAAAGAACGCTGAGATTATCGAACAATATCATTAATATCATATACAAGTAAAGTTTTATGGACGATCACTCAAAAAGGGTGGCAGCAGTGCATTGACAGGAAGCTTCCAGGGATTCAAGCTGGATTCAGAAGAGGATGTGGAACGAGGCTTATTGTATGTCAGATGGGTCTTGGTTGAAAGCAGAGAATACCAGGGTTTTAGTGACAGGTATTTGACTGTTTGGATCAGAACACAGGATAGACAATGTTGTGAAGATAGGACTTTCAAACACTTAATTGAACTCATGCAGAATCTGCATACAGACCAAGAGCTCACTATTTGATGCTATGTGGTTTTAAGTCAGGAAAAGAGTGTATCAAGGCTGTATCTTTTCACTATACTATTCACTTTGTATGCTGAATAAATTATCCAAGCAGGTGGGCCATACGAAGAAGAATGTGGCATGAGTGTTGGAAGAAGAGTTAACTAACCTGTAGTCTGCAAATGGCACAACCTTGTTGGCTGAAAACAAAGAGGGCTTGAAACGTTACTGATAAAGTTTAGAGTCTACAGTGTGGGCTACATTTCATCAAAAAGAAAACGCAAATCCTCATGACTGATCTGATCAGCAGCAGCATGATATAGGAAGAGAAGTTTGACACTGTAAAGGGTTTCATTTAACGCACATTCACAGTCAATGCCCATGGAATCCATAGTCAAGAAATCAAAGCATGCATTCCGCTAGGCAATGCTGCTGCAAAAGACATCTTTAAGGTGTGGAAAAGCAAAAGATGTCACTTTGAGGCCTAAGGTGAGCCTGCCTCAAGCCATGATCATTTCAGTCACCTCACAGGTATGTGGCTGTTGGACAAGGGGTACGAAGGAAGGAAGAATCGATGTCTTTGAACCATGGTGAAGCCAAAGAACCCTAACTGTAACATGGACAGCTAGAAAACGAGCAAATCTGTTTTTTAAGAAGTACAGTGAGAATGCTCCTAAGGAAGACGGCCAGATTTTATCTCATGTTCTCAAGAGAGACCAATGTCTAGAGAAGGGCATCAGCCTTGGTAGAGGGACAGTGGAAAAAACAACAACAACAAAAAACAAGTGAACATCAGAATTAATGTTAAATACATCTATCCCGCTAAGGGCACAAACTACTTAAGCATTGGAGGATACGGATGCTATGCCATTATCTGACTTGGCAGATAACTATCTCATAGATAAATATTAAGGTAAACCAGTAGCCATGGAGTGGTGTGAGAACTGTTCTCCAGAAGATTTTCAGTAGCTGATATTTTAGAATTAGATCAATCAATCAATACTGGTTATAGAAGAATAATAATACATTCTAAATGTAAGGTGGCTCCTTTACACATGCTCTATGGAAGTCAATCATTAATGAATTTGGAATAATGGGCTATATCCCATTCTCTTTTAACTGGCCTAATGTGATTTTAAAAAATGAACAGGACAGTCAATTAACTAAGAATCTGACAGCCAAATGTTCAAATGCTTCAGATACCTTAGTTATAGTTGATTTATATGAGGGTCAGTCAAAAAATATTGGTACAAAGTCTCAGAAATCTTATTAAACACAAATATCAAAATGGGAAAGTACTGCTTTTTGCCATATTCTCCATTTAGCTCTATACACTTTTGCAGGTATAGATCCAACCCCAAAGGATTCTGTACTCTTCAATTTACAGTGTGTCCCAAAAACAGTGTTGGCATCCTCCGGGGACTAAAAGCAGGTTCCTTTGTAATCCTGAGTTTGGGGATCAAAAGAAGTCTGGATCAAGGCTGTAGGGTAGATGGGTTAAGGTGTCCCAACAAGATTCCTGTAGGACACAGCCCCACCACCCTCAGCAGACTTTTTGGGTATTTCTGGGATGGACAAAAATTTCTCTTGGGGCAACTTTTCTGGCCTTTTGCTCCCCAAGGCAGCTTTCGGTTTTCTTAAAACTCGCACTTCCTTTGAGAAAATGACGATGACCCTGTTGGGATCCCACAAAAGTCACAATTGAGCTGATCTCTCTGCCCTGAGTTTAATGGGTCCAGCAGAACCTTTTGGATCCACTGTTTTGATTGGATCTTTGAATTTGAAGGCGCTTAAAGAGACTCAGGCAAGTGTGCTGCTGAGAAAACGTATGTGCAGCCTTCCAGTGGTCACAGGAACACGGAGCAACGCAGGCATGTAGCATGTGGGAAGGGAAATCCCAGTAGCAATACTTTTTGACTTGCTCTGGTCCGTGGCCACTAAGACTGAGCTGGCACTTCCTTGAAACACGCCAGTCTATCTATACTTTGGAAATGTTCCGCTACCCTTGTTTTGGGTACCGTGAACCATTCCTTATTGGAACTCAGCCCTTTTGAGTGTGTGTGTCATAAATAACGGTGTGAATCTAACCAGACTTCACACAGCAAACAAAATTCTTTCACTTGAATTTTGTTGCCAATAAGCAAAAACTGCACTCTGGGAAGAAAAGTTAAGCTTGAAATCGAGTTTCAGCATGACGGCTTCCCTTGTGTGTCAACACATGACAGTTTATCAGCGTTGACTGGTCACCGCTGTCAGGTCTGTTCAGTTATTAAGGTATTTCAAAAAAGTATGATCCGTACAGAAGTCCCTGGGCTAGCAAAGGGGTTACGGAGTGGAAAGCCCCATCTCTCTTCCTAGGATAGGCTAGTGGTTTTGAACTGCTGACCTTTGGAGAGCACAGCCCAATGCATACCCATGACACCACCATAAGTCCGTGAGTCCACCCAGAGGCACTCAAAAGAAAGACATGATGCTCTAACTCCAAAAACTCAGCCACTGAAAACACTATGAAGAGCAGGTGCACTCTAACCATGTGGTCACGGACTCCTTGGCCACCGGTTTGTGTTCTTAAAACCACCTCCATTAAATTCCCAGGGCGCTTTTGAGGTACAAATGAGTGCTTTACACTCAGTTAATAAGTACTCAGGGTTTTAAACATTTTCTCCTTAAAAACCCAAGTAGCTCATTAAAATAAAAATCACAATTTTATAATAAAATGTTCCATGCGATGAGCCAAGAATAACTAAGTTATATCATACAAAGATAATAGTAACACAAACCAGACTGTAATTATGGTCACTAATGGATAAAAATGACCAATGGGCATCTTTTTTTGTTAGAAATGATAATTATGCAAACTTCTCCAAACAAGTGATTTTGAAATAAGGCCTTTTCCCCTGACCTGTAAAGCCATCCTTGTAAAACCACAAAGTGAAAAAACTATACACTGACATGTGATAAAATGATACTTTATTGCTCTGGTCAGTCTTGTAAAAACTGTTTTACAGTTTCGTAGACTGTAAGCAGCAGTTAAGATAATGAATGCTTATGTTAATATATTTGATGCTGTTACTTTAAAAATTTGCCCTTTATTGATTTTGGTTAAATTACTGCTCAAGTAATTGTGAAAGACAGTCGTTTTCTGAAATTATCACTAAAATTCTCAACTGACTTTCACGTCTTCAAGTCAATTCTAACTGAGAGCAGCTCTACAAGACCTGCCCTATAGGATTCTCAAGGATGCAAACCTTTAAGGGAACAGCCACATTTTCTCTCTCCCGAAGAGTGGCTGGTAGGTTTTAACTGACAACCTATCAGTTAGATTACACCAGGGAATTTTTCAACATACTTGGCAGGATTGTTTATAAAAAATGATTTTTCTATCTTCTACTACTTCCTTTATATAGAATTTTTATATGCAAATTGATTGAAAATAATAATTCTAGTTTATATCTAACATAAACCTGTGAGGCAAATTAGTACAGTCTCATTTTACAGTGAAAATTTAAGAGCAGAAAGTTTGAGGAAATTTAGTGACGGCCTCACTAAGCTGGATTCCATTCCAATGCAAAGCTATTCATGCCCACTGTTTAGGGAATATTGTTTATCCAGATTTTTTTTTCAGGAACTGAGGGGCCTCCCAGAGGAGATAATCCTAAAGTTTCAGTATGACTTGGATCATGCTAACAATATTCTGAAGAAACCATATTTTTATTGAACAAAGCCAACTTTTTACATTTAAGAAATCTTTGGGAATTTTATAAAGCATTCAGCTATGGTTCTAAACTGCAAATAGCCAAGATGCTAGGATTTAAAACTTTTTATGAGTAGAGAAACCGAATGCTAATATGCAATTTTTTAAAAATATAACATAAACATCCAATAATTGATGCTTAAAAATTCAGGAAGGCATCATTTACATTCGGGAAGTTAACATTTACAAAAGAATGTTAACAAATTTAGTAAAGGCTCACATTTATTATTTTCACCCACGGATGTAATTCCTATTTTCCTTTGAAAATGCTTGAAAAAATACTTAGCCATTCTACAATTAAACCTAATTCTAAGTAGTAAAACACATTCAACGCTGATAAATCTGAAATCAGAAGGGTACCTCAGGCCTTATCAGACCTGCTATCCTTATCAACATTTGGGAATGAGAGGCGAGTAGGTGATAAGAAGCAGATTTCCACCAGAGAACAGCCAACAGGATTAGCGGGCTAAGGCAGCGCCTCAACTCTATGTAAGCACTTTTAGATTATTCAAGTTCCCGGGTGCAAAGTCTATCTTTGTATGTAATCATTCTTCCCATCTAACCATGCTCAATACCTCCTCCAAAATTTTATTTGAGATCATGATCATGCATTAGGCTATGAGTCAATCCAGAATTCTTAATGTATTTCTTACAGACCACAGCTACAAACTCCTAAAACTTATTGGACTGGACAATGAAGTTTGATTGCAGACATTCATTCACTTCATTTGCACGGTGACTTTGCGGATATAGAAAGGACCGTAGTCTCCAGTTCACAGAGAGGGAAATAAATAGCTGAGAGAATGAGACCATTTGCCCAGGTCACACGATTTGCAGTGGTGGATGTGGATTTTTAACCCAGAGGAAACCCAAAGGGTCAAACAGGGCAAAGCCATGTTCTTTGTTGGCTCTTTTTTGAACAACAACTAAGTATTTTAGAAAGTACAGATCCGAGATGATGATTTCACAAAGTGCCCTATTCTTCACTTCTGCCATCTTAAACAGATTTAAGGACGATATCGTCCAGGTTTTCTCATTTAGAATCAGCTAAAAACCATGGTCCTGTGTCTGCCTTATTATTTAATTATAATAAAATCACATTAAAAATTACTTAAGAAGTTTTGTATTTGAGAAAATGCATTATTATGTATTTAAAAAGTAGTACATAATGGTGTCACTACTGAGGTATAAGATCAAATATATCTAATTAAGCTATAATTCCTCTCGGTAATAATTAATGTGCTCATTTTGGGCCATCCTGCAATGAAAAGAAGAAAATGACAAAAAAGATAGCATAGGTCTTCTTTCTAGACAACTTTAAAGAAATTCAGGATGGTGACATCCATTTACATTAAACAAGACCAATCAAACCAAGAGATAAAAGAAACTCGGGTTTTAACCATTCAGTGTATGTGACCACCAAAAATTCTGCCAACGGGTATAAAATGTTGGCGTAGAATCTTGTTTCCCACAGTCAATCACAACCAAGTAAATACTAGAATTAAAAACAAAAAAACCTAAGACCAAAAAGTCTTTCTTGAAAGAGGCAGAAGCAGTTACTCCTCCTAAAGGAGTGAAACGCCACTTTTAGTTCCACCGTGGATTTCCACTGCATTTCAAGTTATTTGGTTATTGGTCCCTGCGTAAACACAAAGAATCCCATGTTCGTCTTGACCCTGTGCTTGAAAGAAACTTCAAAGGGGGGTCCAGCTACAGTGCTCCGGTCTCTCCTCCCGCCCCACCCCACCCCATGAAATGTGCTTTCGTAGCGAGTGTTGGTTGGTAAAGGGCGATGGTACCTTCACAGGAGAGGCCGTGGGAGGTGACACCGGAGAGGCTCTCTCTGCACACGTTACAGAAGGTGGGCCGGGCGTGGGAGCAGGCGTACCAGTTATGCATCCCTGAGAAATGCTCCACGTTAAACTGGGCCACCTAGAAACGAGAGCATAGAACAGGTCTGTCCAAGGAGAGGCCTGGATGACCGCACCTGCCTAGAATGTGCAACAGTTACAAAAAATAGTAACAACATTCCAGATCCAGCATTTTTATCAGGAAAATTTTAAATCGAGAAAGTTACACAAGATAGCTTCACAAACCAGCGGCTGAAGGCGGAGCTCTGACCTCGAATAACCTGGGAGCTCAGACGCTTCACCTGGCCCGGATTTCCTAAGAAGCTGAGCTGTCGGAGGGAGGTAGGGGAGCTTGTACCTCGTAGGTTTCCCGGGTCTGTACGGACTTGAGGCAGCTGATCCAGTCCTCCATCTCCTTCCTGTGGTCAGCGCACAGCATGAGCCTTCGGAACGGGGTGATTATCTGGAGGAGGGCAATTCAATGTTGTGATTGATAATCACCAAACCAGAGAAAGCTATGGCAAATCCTCATTTGGGGCAGTGCACTTATAACCGAAGAGCCCTGGCAGCCTTAGTAAAGAAAGTAAGATGCTCTTAAACACAAACAGGCTTGGTTCTCTGTGTGTGACAGAAGATGCTCCGGGAAACAAACAAACAGGCCGTATCCTGAATTCTAAGGAGCCTTAACTCGTCTTTGATTCTACTGCTACCTACCTCTCAGACTAAAGACAGCCTGATTCCAAATAATAATACCTAATTTTACGAACTGCCTTGAAAACAGATTTTGAAGATACTTCAAAACAACTCATAGGAAGCTTAGAATGAGCACATATTTTTTTTACATGGAAATGTTAAAACAGGAAGATCAAAGGAATGCAATATTAAGGCATTTTATAGCTCATCGACCATCACATCCAGGTTAGCCTGTAAGTCCTGAAAAGTAACATTGGATTTACATATAACTTCTGCTGGAAGTTTGAGTCTGATCTATGGGTAGGATTCCCCCATCACGTGGAATTCCACTACATTACTTGTTAGTGAGAGGGAGGGAAAGCTATTAGCAGAGAAGCCCTTCAGTTGGCTTTAGGGAAAGAAATAGTTGCTACTTTCATCTTTCTGCCTGCCACTAAAATAAGCAAATTAATTTTATTAAGGACCTTAGAGCGGAGAACTGAAACCCTCATGCTATGATAGCACTAAAGGCACTTCCAAGTGAGATTCTGAAATAACTTGAAAGAAGCTTCTATTTGTGTGTAGGTAGATTATTCCGGTTATAACATTGAAGCTATTAAACCCGAACTATTTGCCACAAGGAAGTAGTCGTTCTTTTGGTTGTGGAAGAAGAGTGAAATGTTACATTCCAACCTAGGAAATGAATCCCAAATTGAAGAAAAAAAAAATCATACATGCTTATAGAGGCAGTCCTTACTTTTCCCAGATTACAAACCTTCCCTGATACATCATAAATACATTGCATTATATTGTTATCCAGCAAATTTCACAAATATTAAAGAATAATTATCTTACGAGAAGGCAAGAGGAGACCCTTGTCTCCTGTACCGAAGAGAGAAGGCCAAAAGTCTAACCCACGACGCTTCACACTAGAATATGAGTCCAAGGTTTCAATTCTGGAAAGAGATCAGCCCGTCTTCCCTACTCACACGGTACTGCCTTTTCTCCTCGATCGTTGGTTGGGGCTCCCCAGTCCTGCTTCCAACCAAGAGGCTTTCGGGCATCTGGCAGGCATGAGCACTTAAATACAGCCAGCCAAATGTCACATGGAAGCGGAGCACCAACCATTCAGCTTTGGTATCTTTTAATTGCATATAAAGTGGAAGGGAGCCTCATTTTTGCTTTTTTGTATGTTTTCCACTGCCCTCTCTTGATAAAGCTTATTAACAGTTGGTCACTTCTCTTCCTGAATAAATAGTTAATGCAAAGAGCAATGCTTCCCTCATTACTTAGGAGCCAAATGGATGCTTTATTGCTTCAAATTGTTTTTCTAGGACAGCTCGTCAGGTGCAGCAGAAAGGCGCCATTAAATCATAATACACTCCTGGCTCCAGCGTCTGGCACAGCCCTCCAGAGGCCTCCAAGTTCCACGAGCCTCCCGGTGTTATCTGGACACACATCGCCCGGAGCATGTATTTTGCTCTTTCCTAGCTGATGTGACTAATAAGGGTTCCCTCTTGTTCTGATTTTATGGGAGACAGGAATTATTCATATAAGTAGACCAAGCTTGTGATCGCATTCTTTAATTTTGTTCTTGGTCAGACTCTCAGGACAGTGTGACTGATGGCTGGAACTAGCTTTAGTGTCTCCCCATTCTTTAAAAGTCACTGTGAATTCAATAAAAAGGGGAACAAGAAGGATGGAGATACAGCCTCATTTTTCTTGTAATTGGAGTTATACAAACACTTCAATTGGGAAGGATGTCAGTAATCTGTATAATAATATACGTACCCCATTTGCTGATGAAATAAAACATATAAATCATCAACTTCTTATTTTTAAACAAAGTTTTAAAATAGACAATAATAAATTAGCAAAGATCATAATATAATTTTGAATTTTTATAAATAAAATTAATTTTATTTATGGGCTTTGTGATTATGTGAGGTTATGAAATCTACTGATTTTAAAATTATAAGACATCACTGTGCACAGAAGGAGAAAAAACAGGCTTAGACTCACTGCCATCGAGTTGACTCCTACTAATAGTGAGACAACAGGGCAGGGTAGAACCGCCCTTGTGGGTTTCTGAGATGGTAACTCTTTTCAGGAGTAGAAAGTCTCATCTTTCTCCCACAGAACAGCTGGTAGTTTCAAACTGCTGACCTTGAGGTTAGCAGTCCAACACACAACCCACTACTCCACCAAGCTCCCTATAGGAAAGAAAATCCTTTTGTATCATAGAATGTATTATATCTAGCTTCAGGGACCAGTACCCAACAGTACTACTTTGGGCAACAGTGCCAAAGTCACCTGGGCTTAACTGAAAGCAAGCTTGGTCAACCTAGCAAACCAGTAACATCCCCTAAACTGACTCTCTAACCCTTTGGGGTAACCCTTCTTCAGGCTTTAAAGTTCTGAGTTCCACCTTTCCTTTCTTTATTTTTCTCATTCTAGAATTTGTAGAAAAATATGACAGTTGTACTTGTTAACTGACAGCCTCTGGTTATATACTCCCACTGAGCCCCATTATTTTGGGGTCGTCAAGCCCCTAAAATTATTTGGGTCTTACTCTGTAGAACCCTGGCAAGTACATTTGTTTCAGCCCTCTTATTATGATGAGCAAGTCGGATGGGGAAGATGGAAGGGCTGGACACGGTTCCCTCCCCACATGAGGATGGGGCTCCTACCTCTATACCCCAGGGAAGACTATATGAGCCCGTTGGGAGCCAAACCCAGGAAATTTCTGGAACTGAGAGACTTTGACATTCCCTTGAAAGATCTGACGTTTCTTTTCTTCCTTAGCCTTTGTCCTTATCTCAACCCCACTCTTACTCTCTCTTCCCACTACCCCAACATTCCTGATTTATCTTTTCAGGCACATCTGAACTTACTCCAGTGATTAATGTTTTCAAATTATAGCCACTCCTCCAATCCTCTCATCTCAGATCCTGCCTACACCCATCTGTCTTTCTAGTCATGTTAGCATGTCCTTGGCATATCCTGCACACCAAAGACTAAGAAAATCGCATGGGATTTGCCCCGAGAGTCTAAAAGGAGACAAGCCAATGAACCGAGGGCTTGTCTGGAAAAGAGCTCGAAAAGAAGGCTGTCTCAGTCAGGCAGTTTCTGGAATCTACCTCCCATAACACAGCATCTCTCCTTCCAGTAACAAAGATGTTCCTCGACTTCTTAAGTGAATTAACTCAACAACGTTATTATGTATGTGTAAGAACGACACATTTCTTAGTATGGAAAACTATAAATACATAAAACAGATATAAGACCATCTGGCATTAAGTATGTAAAGTTTTATAGAAGAGTAACATTAGTTAAGCCTTAAAAGAAACATATAGGAATAAAAAAGATACATAGCCAAATACTGAACACTGTTTATCTTTCCATGAAGGGATTCCTGATGATTTAAATTTTTTGGGGGGGGGAGGGTAGGGTGGGTATTTATATGTAATTTCGCATGTGTCTGGATTTCTATAATAAAAAGATAGGATTTTTGCTAGGCATGAGGATGTTATTGTGAAGGGCTACCGAGAAGGCTCCTACCTCAAAGCGATCGCACGGTGTAACCGAACAAAACCCTACCTGGGCCGTCACCATCCTCACTAGGGTTCCTATGCTTTGGGCCCATAGTTGCAGCCATTGTGTCAATCCATCTCTTTGGGAGTGTTCCTCTTTTTTGCTGATGCTCTATGATAGGAATTTAGAATGTAAAACTTTGCTTTGTTCCAGAGCAAGAGTTCTTAGAATCACCTGGGCCGATTTTTTTTTTTAAATCCAACTGTCCAGGCCACATTTCAAACCAATGAGCACAAACCTTCTGGAGACAGGTCTTGGCCACTCAGCATTTTCCTAAATCCCTTAGGTGATTCTAACATCCAGTGAAGTTGGAGAATAAGTGTTCTAAAGACACTCGCCATGCCCACTCCCCAACAACAACAACAACAAACACCATTAGAACTGAAAAGATGAGACATTCCTCAAAAGAAGAGCAACAGGCGTTGTGAGTGTATGTGTTCCCAATTGGAAACCATAGAGTAACAGCAGAGTGATTGAGAAATTCTGGAGTCAGATAAGACTGTGGACAAATTTCTGGGGCTCTTTAAGCCTCCAGGCTGCTTGGGCTGAGGGGCTGGGGTTGCCACTCAGATGGACAAAGGATTGGAGTTGCCCTCCCAGGGGGCCTAGAAGGGGCAGCTGAAGCCTGGGCCACAAGACCTTCACTCAGAATTCAGAGGGCATGGGCAGCACTCACAGTCTACAGGCAAGGGTCACTGCCGAGAGTGGTCTTTGAGAACAGTGGATTATTTCCCATTCTTGAAAATTAATATAAGTGATTCTACTGAGCTTGGGTCTTTTTTTTCCCCAACAGGTTTACTGCACATAAGTTACATATCCTACAATTGAATAGTTCAATGGTTCAATCATATCAAGGGGAACTGTGCAATCACCACCACATTTATCTTAGAGTCCCCCCCCCACCTCCCGCCCTGGTTAAATCACCTTTAAAATGAGTTCTGCAGGCACCGTCAGTTCCAGTGCTCCCTCCCACCTCCCGGCTTCATCATTTATTCCCGAAATCCCCTTTCCCTCCCTATCATCCATTCCCCGCCCCTGCATTCCCTATAACACCTTGTATCAGTTATTATCATTGTACCTCCTCTTCTCCTGTGTGTCACAGCTGGGAGACCCAACGGAAAACAATGAACAACAGATGGTGCTAAGGTGGTGAGGATGAGATCCTGTTACATAAAGGCCCGTAATCGTTTGCTATCT